AGGGGGGTGCCGAGGGCGGGGATGGGCAGGGCAGGGACAGAGGCTGGGCCTAGAGGGTAGGGGGGTGCCGAGGGCGGGGATAGGGAAGGGCAGGGACAGAGGTGGGGCATAGGCGATGGGGCGGGGCGGGAACAGGGGCGGGGGCTAGGGGTAGGGGCGTGGCAGGGCGGGAACCGGGGCGGGGCCAGGGGATGGGGCGAGATTGGGCCGGAAACCTGCAGAGGCGAGGCTGGAAGCGGCAGGGTGAGGGGCACTCACTCAGGACGATGAGGATACCCAGGATGAAGAGGATCCCGGCGATGATGAGGCCCCCAATCCGCAGGGACTGGTAGTCTATGGGCAGCAGGGAGGAGAGTGAGGGCAGGGAGGGGAGAAGGAAAGATAGGAGACAGGCAGATTGGGGAGGAGGGGGCAAGGAGGAAGGATCAGGGAGGAGGAGAGGAGAAAGGAGATCAATGAGAGCACGGATGGAGCAGATATGGGAGGAGGGAGGAAGGGATCAGGGAGAGGAGAGGGTGGAAAGGAAAGGGAGGGGAGCAGGTGGGCAAGGCAAGGAGGAAACAAGGGAGTAGGGGAGGATGATGGAGAAGATGAGGGGGACTGGGAGGGGAGAAGGGGCAGGAGGCAGCAGAGGAGGAGCCATAAGATATTGAACAGTAAAAGGAGAAAGAGAGAGAATCAGAGAGACAGGGAGAGATCAAATAGAGAGAGAGACACGCAGAAAGAGACAGAGAGAAGCAGACAGATAAGGGGAGATCAAGGCAGAGTGAGAGAGCCAGATGGAGAGAAAGAGAGAGGAGACAGAGACATAAACACTGGGAGTCAGAGACAGAGAGAGAGGGAGAAGGAGAGGGAGAGGTAATGAGGAAAGGACAGGCAAACCCAGCCCCCACCCCCCCAACTCCCAGAGATTGATGCCCCTCTCTCCCTCACCATAGGTGAATGGGTCGTGTTCCTGTGGAGCTTCTGGAAAGAGAGAGAGAAATCAGGATGCTTCCTGGGGTCCTGGGGTCTGGACAGCCAGGGGCATAAAGACACCCTCTTGGGGCTCTACTTTCCTGGGCTGAGAGTTTGGGGACGGTTGGACCCTGAGCAGGCTGCCCACCTTCTCTGGGTCTTTACTGCCCCCTCTTCACTGTCCTGGGAGGGACAAGGGGCACCTCACTGCCCTAGCTCCCTGTCTCATTACCGGTTGTCTAGGATTCCTTCATTCACAGGAAGCCGGCCACCACCCCACCATCCACCTTTGCCTGACCTGGAGCATCCTCTCTCCTCCCCCAAATACCAGCCTATGACTGGACCCCATGTGAGACCCCAATTTCCTGATACTCCAACTGACTCAGTTTAGGCTCGAGTCCCCAACTCGTTTCTCTTGCAAGGTTTCCCCTGCCACCCTTGGGGCTGAGGTGAGTAGTGGGCTGCCTCCCCCAGACTCACCTGTGTTGGCCATGGCGAGGAGACCCACACAGAAAACGAAGAGGTGGCCGAGAGACACCATTTCCTGGGGAACACCAAGAGTCAGGAAATGTGTACCCTTGTCAGGGGCTGGAACTCAAGGGGTTAAGTCAGAGACAGTAGAGGGACTTAATTCCAAAAGCATCCATCATCCAGCTTGGCCACCCCAAGAAACAGGGGCACCTGGGGACACAGCGTCACTAAAACAACCCACACAATGTGGGTCACAGGGTAGTGAGGACAGGGGTGAGACACACACAGTCCCCAGAAGCCTCCCCACAGCAGGCCCCGGATTCCCCACGCCTCCCCTAGCGAGGAGAGCAGGATGCTGCACCCCACCAAGTGGGGAGACAGTCACACCGTGAGGGACGACACCACCAGGACACGCCCCAGGGCCCACCTGCCCGCACACCACGGCCTCGCTGTGTCCGTAATATCCCGCTCTCCTGCCCTCGGCCACTGGCCTGCTCTCTGCCTGACCCCGGGTATAAATATCTCCCACTTCACCCTGGAGGAATTTGCCTCGCGCAGGCCACCATGGCAACAGCCTTCCTTCCCCCACTTGGGGGTCATGCACAGCCCTGCCGGGGTGAGCCCAGCCACCACATTGCCACAGCCTGCCCCCATGGGAAAGGCCACCCTTTCTGCTCTCCTGGGAGCAATGAGAAAAGGGAAAAACATCCCCTCGGCCACCTCTGGGTGACATCTTTCACAAGCAGACAACACCAGGCGAGTGACAGGAGGCCCAGGCCAGTGTGGCTGAGAGACAGAAGACAGAAGCCAGCGGCAGGGACACACACACACAGTCACACACACGCAGCGGGGCGGGAATGGAGACGCCCACTCCCCATACTTCTGGTTGGAGCAGGACGGGGGTGGAGACACAGGCACACTTTACTCCTCGTCTGGGCCTCGGGTGCCCCCGAACAGTGATGCGACCGGCCCTACACACATGAGTGTCCCAAACCCACACCCGGCCAGGGGGCACATGCAGCACAGGGAGGGAGTGGCACCCACACTCCCTCCCTGGGGGGACCGCAACTTCCCAACCGCACTCCTTTCCTCTTGGGTCGGGCCTGCCTGGGAAGCCACCGGCTGGCTGCTCCCAAAATAGGCGGCCCAGCCAGGCAAAGGGCGAGGCCTGGAGGAGAGGGGAAGGGGGCGCTCACCCCAGTCAGGCTGTCCCCTGCGGAAAGAAGGCCCCCGATCGTCCGGCTGCGCCCAGGGGCCGAGCACTTTGGGCCCCCAGCCCGGGGCTGGATGCGCCGCCCCCAGCAGTCTACCCTCCCAGCCCCACCCCAGCCTGGCCCTCCCCAGCCAGCAGCTGTAACCGGAGCGGGGCTGGAGGGGGGCCAGGGGGCGGCCCCCAGCCCAGACCGCCCTGGCCCCGGGTTAACTCTCTCGGCTCGGATGGAGGAGCAGGAGGCAGCCGGGGTGGGGAAGCTGGGGAGAGGAGGTTCGGGCAGGGGGCTGGACTGCAGACACACACACGCGCGCGGGCACACACACACATACGCACGCACGCACACACGCACGCACACGCGCGCCTCGGGCTCACCTCAGAGAGCTCCTGAGCTCGGTGCGAGGGTGGGTGTCAGTGATTTTGTGTGCTGCTCCCTGGGAATTGGGCCCAGCCGGGGCCTAAGGTCACCCAGCCTGAGTGCTTAGGAGCCCACTGACCCCTGACCCCAGGGTTCTTTGGAGCCCTGGCCAGCACCACAGGGCTGTTTTGGGGCATTTCAGTGTGTATGTGTGTGTGTGTGTTGTCTGGTGCCAACTGTGAGGTCCCCCAGGGGTGCACACCACACACACACACACAACCCCAAAGACCCAGATAAACAGGCACAAAAACAGACAAATACATATATGTACACACATACAAACACAGAGGCAGACACACACAGAATAACACACCGCTGGAGAAACGCAAAGACACACACACACAGCCAGCACTTCTTACACCAGTGACAACACACCAAGATGAACACATTTGTGTACACACACATATTCATTCAGGTGGATGCTTGTACAGAGACACAATGAAAGACACAGCCACACAACCGTCCACTCTTAGAAATGGTCACAAAGATATCCACGCTTGTGAAGACATACAAATGGCTGTACAGAAACACACCAGTACACACATGCCACACATAAATACCTTCAAAGGCACAGACACACAGCCAGCACTCCTGCACAGTCTCAGAGCTCTGAGGGCCCACACACTGTACATATGGACAGACACACGCACACACTTTTGTGGGCACACAGAGAAGCAGAAACACTGCCAAGCACACAGCCACACAACCACCAAAACAGACACACACACACTGTGTTCACACCCTCTTGCACAGGCAGACAGGCACACAGCCGGCCACACAATCACAGACACACAGGCTACGCACTTGTGTTCACACACTCGGGACACCAGCAGACGTGCGGTGATGTGTTTAACCCCGAACCTCCCCTTCCCTGAGCTCCTGGGGCCTCTAGGACCCCCTGGAGGACAACGCACCTGGCGTCCCTGTGGGCAGGCCAAGTTCAGAGGCACTGGGGACAGAGAAACCCAGGAGTGGGTCTGGGCTCTGCCACTCCTGGTTGTGTGCCCTTGAGCAGCCCGTGTGACCTCTCTGTGCCTCAGTTTCCCATCCTATAAAATGGAGAAATCACTAAAGTCATACGTATAACCCTGGGCTGGACTCAGAGGTCTCTGACTGGACGTTACCTTATCGTTAACTCCATTTTAGAGATGAGCAAACCGACGTTTAGCAAGGCAGAGCCAATTCTCCCAAGGGCCCCCTGGTGGTTAAGCACAGAAGCTGCCCCACAGTGTAAGAGTCCCAGGGGCTCAGAGGCCGTGCCCTGCAGGCCAGTCAGCGTGGGCGACACGCTCCCCCTCAGGCACAGGCGCAGCCCTGACACACTCACACGCGTGGGCCGGCAGCCTCAGAGGACCCAGGAGCCTCGAAAGGCCCCTTATCCCATCTGCCTGCGCCCTGCCCCTCGTGGCCCTGCAGCCAGGGTCACCAGCTGTCCCTGGTTAATGATAACCCCGGTGTTTATGCCGCCCTGGGAGGGGGGACAGAGGAGCAAGCAGGCCAGCAGGAAGGGGCACCTGGCCAGCTCTAGCCGACCCTCGGCTTCCTCCCCTCACAGGGCCACCTGCCCCAGGGTGGAGTGGCTCAGCCACTTTCCAGCTAGGTGATGTTGGGCAAGGACTTGACCTCTCTGGGGCTCAGTGTCTCCTTTTGTCAAATGGGGATGATAATAATATCCACCTCAGAGGGAGGTTGGGATGAGTATCTGAAACCATCCATAGAAAACATCTAGAACAAAGCCTGGCACACAGCAGGTGACCAAAAAAAAATTTAGCTATCATCATCATCGTCATTGTCATCCTTCTCATGTAAACCGAGTGAGAGCCCTGCGGGGCACTGGGGGGGGCTCTGTGAGCGCGGATTTAGGCCTGCCTGTGTCCCCTCTGTGTCCCTGGCTCTAAGCTCTTTATCTCTTCAAAGACCTTGTAGGGAGCTATATCATCCCACTCTCCAGCCACGGTACCGCGACCTGAAAGCCGTGCTCGGATCCCAGAGCTGCTCCGAGCAGCTCAGAGGTGCAGGACGAGCACTGGGTCCAGAGTCTACCCTCAAGCCTGCCGGCCGCTGGGGGGCGCCCACCCTGCGCAGAATCTCAAGCAGGGGCACTGCCTCCATCATCTCCCTGCGTGCTTTACACACCTGGAAAGGGGATGCCACCATTGCCCCATTTGACAGATGGGAAAACTGAGGATCAAGGAGGTTGAATGGCTTGCTTGAGGCCACGCAGAACTGGGCCTGGAACCCGGATCTATGCGCCCCCACCCCAGCTGGCGCTGTTAAGCCCGTTGTCCTCGCAGTCCTCTGGGTGTGTGCAGCGGGGTCGAGAGAGGCTGTGGGTCTTCCTCAGTGGCCGGGGAGAGTGGTTACGTTTAGATCTGTCCACGGCCAAGAAAAGAATCGTTTAACCTCTTGGTGTCTCAGTTTCCCCACCTGTAAAGTGGGGATTAGTAATACTACCCACCCCACGGGGTGGTTGTGAGGACTGAGTAAATTCATGTAAAGACTGGCACACAGTTAGAGCTCAGTGGGGATTATTACTACTATTTCAGGCTGGGTAACAAGTGTCATGGGTTTATTTGTCTTATTTAGTGGACAGAATCTATCCAAATTGCTCAAAGCTTAGTCCAAATGAAAACAACCGACATCCGTGAGTTCTGATCTCCAGAGAAAGAATGCAAAGTCCCCCGGAGAGGCCCTGGAGCCGGCCACTGGGCTCAAGTCCCAGCTCCGCCCCAGCTGGGTAGCCTAGACCTCAAGTTACTTGACCTCTGTCCTCAGTATGCCCATCTGTAAAATAGCCATACAGTAGTATCAACCTCAGCAGGCTATGGCGAGGTCCGGGTGAACTAACAGATGAACCTTCAGGACGAGGCCCGGTGCAGAGTCAACACCGAAGAAGAAGGTGGCGTCATCATCACTGTTCCCTTGGGTTGGCTCCCTGCCCCCAGTGGGTGATGGACACTCAAGGGGTTAACTTCGGGACAGACAAGGGAGGTTGTGGGTTTGGGCCAGGGCAGCTGCCCTGCGGAGTGTGGCCACCAGAGGGAGCAGCTGGACCTGAGCTGGCCCCTCCAAGACTGGGTGACAGCGCCCACCACACCCTGGGGGAACCAGGGGAGGGGGCTGGCTGGGAGTGGCCAGGGTGGCTCCAGCCCCCCGTCGTTTCTCCTCCCGCCCCCCTCCTGCCCGCAGAGCCATCTGGGTCTCACCGTGGTGACATCCTCCTCGCACTCCCTGAGTGGGGTGGACTGAGGAATCTGGGGAGGGGGCTGGCTGGGAGTGGCCAGGGTGGCTCCAGCCCCCCGTCGTTTCTCCTCCCGCCCCCCTCCTGCCCGCAGAGCCATCTGGGTCTCACCGTGGTGACATCCTCCTCACACTCGCTGAGTGGGGTGGACTGGGGAATCTGGGGAGGGGGCTGGCTGGGAGTGGCCAGGGTGGCTCCAGCCCTCGGCGGCCCCTCCCCTCCCATGGGGCCATCCAGTCCCTTCCCCAGGGCTGCTCTTCCTATGGCCTCTGACCCCCTCCTCCTCCTTACCCTGCTTTGCCGGGCGCACCCGGTGCCCAGCGAGTCCCTTTCCCAAACCTCCTGGGAGAAGGGGCGTGGGAGGAGGCAAAGAAACTTACAGGGAGCTGGAAAGGAGGGGTAGAGAGAGGAGAAATAAAGACACCAGACAGAGGGAGACACGGACACACACACACAGAAAGAGAGGCCAACAGAGACTGAGAGACAGAGACAGGGAGACAAAGACAGACAGAAAGAGAGACAGAGAGACAGTGGGAAACAGACTAAGTCACTGAGGCAGAAATAGAAGAGAGAGAGACAGAAAGGCAAAGGAGAAATAAACAGAAAATCAGACGCCAAAGAGATACAGGAAGAAAGAGCCTGAAATAGAGATCGAGAAAGAGGAGAGAGAAGCCAGGCCGAGCATGCCAGCTGGCGGGATGGAGGGTCTCCTGGCGTGGGAGATGTAGGGGCCGCAACCTGGGCGGAGCTGGGTGGGCAGAGGGAAGCGGGGCCTTGGCGGGGGTGAGGGGCATGGGAGGGGCCGGCATTCTGCTGCTGCTGCTGGCTGGGGCGGGGGCGGGGGCGGCCTGGAGACCCCCGAAGGGGAAGTGTCCTCTGAGCTGCTCCTGCTCCAAAGACAGTGCCCTGTGTGAGGGCTCCCCGGACCTGCCCGAGAGCTTCTCCCCAACCCTGCTGTCACTGTGAGTGTCAGGCCCTTTGGGGGCCTGAGGGTGGGGAAGGGAGTCCTGGGACCCCAGGGGTTCGGGGCAGGGTGCCAGGGTCCCCAAGGAAACAGGGGCCCTTCAGGATCTTGGGCGGTGGGCAGCAAAGGATGTTGGGATGCCCGAAAGGGGGCTGCCAGGATTTGGGAGGCCGTGGAGGGGGAATTCCAAAGGGCAGGGGCAGCCCTTGGGGCCCAGGAGGAGGGCAGCTGGGGGTGGAATGAGTGCTGCCGGGATCCTTGCCAAGCGAGGGGCACATGCCTGTCTCCTGGGTTGTAGGGGAAAAACACCAGGGCCAGGGTGGCATGCCAGAGTCCCCCAGATGGGAGACGGCTCTGGGACGGGGCTGGAGCGCTGGAGCGGTTTCCTCCTCACCCACCATTGCCCACGTCCCCAGCTCCCTCGTCAGGACTGGAGTCACCCAGCTGAAGGCCGGCAGCTTCCTGAGGGTGCCAACGCTGCACCTGCTGTGAGTGGGGCCCAGATGAGCTGACGGCCAGCTCCAGAGAGGGGGTCCATGACCGTGCGCGGGAGGGTGTTCACACACGTGTGTATGTGCATGTCTATGAAAGCGTCTGTGTCCATGCCCATCCCCACATCACATGCATGTGTGTGTGTGACCATGCCCGTGTGGGCCAAGGGTGGGGGCCGAGGTTAAAATGTCAGATAGGAGCAGCAACTCTGGAAACATTCCTTTCTTGCTCCCGTGACAGCCTCTTCACATCCAACTCCTTCTCGGTGATTGAGGACGATGCATTTGCGGGACTGTCCCACCTGCAGTACCTGTGAGTGAGGCCAGGGGATGGGAGCAGGAGGGGAGCCTGGGAGAGGAAGCAAGGGCCCCTCTGTGGCCCCCAGAGTAGGGGAGATAGGGCCTTGTTGCCTGGGGAGGAAGTGTCTGGACAAGGGTCCCTCTTGGAGGGGCAAGAGGCCTGGCCTCTTGGGTGGGTTCAGGGCACCTGCTCAGCTGTGTAATCTCAGCCCGCTCGCCTCACCTCTTCATGCTTCAAGATCCACAAAGGGCCTGGATCACCCGAGACTGTTTCTGGCCCTACCTGACTTATGGGAGCCCAGGGAGCATGCAAAGAGGCTGGAGACAGGAAATGTTTCAAATTAACGGGAAACAACTCTGACTTGGGTGGTGGTGGTGGTGATGATGGTGATGGTGGTACTGACTGTGGTGGTGGTGGTGACAGTATGACAATGCTGGCATTGGTGCTGATGTTGGTGGTGATGATAATGGTGGTGGCGGTGGTGATCCTGTTGCTGCTGCTCACGGGGAAGTGCTGGCGTTATTGAGGACGATGGAGTGGGGATGATGTTGAGAAAAATGGCAGACCCGACTGTAATGGTGCTGTTGGTGATGCTGCTGATGAAGTTTGAAGGGTTGGTGTTAGTGATAATTAGCATGTGGATATTGGTAATGATGGTATTGGTGTTGCTATCGGTGATGGCTGTGGGTAGAATGTTGGTGTTGGTGTAATGGCAATGTTGATGGCACTGGGTTTGGTGGTGATGGTGGAGGTGCTGGTATGTCTAAAAATTGTGGCAGTAGGGGTGCTGGTGGTGGGTGAAGATGTGAGTGCTGGGCATCATGGTGATGCTGTTGGTGTTGGCAATGCTGGTGCTAACGTTGATGCTTTTAACAATGGTGCCAGTGTTGGTGATGATGGTGGCAGTCATCTTGGCATTGATCATGAAGGCTGTGTTGTTGGTGATGCTTATCAGTGTTGTTGGTGTGAGGTTTGGTAGTGACAGTGTTAGTGTTGGCATTGCTGTTCATGTTGATGATGGTTGGTTGGTTGTGATGGTGTTGGTGACGATGGTGGCAGTGTTGGTGACAATGGCGGCATGGTATGGTATTGGTGATAACAGCAATTATTGGTACTGGGGCTGACAACAGTGGTAGAGGCCTGGGTGTTGGTTACTGCAGATGATGGTGGAGGTATTGGTGGTGATATTGGTGCCAGTGCTGGTGTTGGTGGTCATGGTGGCAGTGGTGGTGATGGTGGTGACAGTGTTCATTATGAGGCTGGCAATGACCATAAGGTCAGGGTCTTGGCTCCAGGGACTGTAAGCTGGGACCTTGGTGAGGAGAGGTTTCAGGGGAGCCTTCCTCTGGGATCATGCCAGGTGTTGGGGGAGAATTCAACAAGTTCCAGCGGCCTGTGGCTTCCATAGGGTGAGCTCCCCCAACCACTGTGGAGCCACAGCAGGGAACTGAGGGCCTCCGCCTCGCCCCACCTTCCCTCCACAGCTTCATCGAGGACAATGAGATCGGCACCATCTCTAAGAACGCTCTCAGAGGACTTCGTTCACTCACACACCTGTGCGTGCCTCCAAGGCCCCACTCCTCCACCACCCCAGCTCCCCCTGACATGCATCCCACACCCCAACACCCAGGGACGCAGGGTACCCTGGTGGCGCTGATGGCTCCTCCTCCTCCTCTCCCTCCACCAGAAGCCTGGCCAATAACCACCTTGAGACCCTCCCCAGATTCCTGTTCCGAGGCCTGGAGACCCTGACTCATGTGTGAGGCTCAAGGAGGCTGGGCGGGGGGGAGTGGGAATGTCTGGGTATGGCTGGTTCTTACATCTTTTTCACGCCGCCTGTGGGGCCCCGTCCGGAACCCTTGCCTGGGGAGGGGGCGGGAAGCGTGGCTCCAGGGGTGGAAGCCGGGTGGCAGCCCCTCTGGCCTCTTGCCCCAGGGACCTCCGCGGGAACCCGTTCCAGTGTGACTGCCGTGTCCTCTGGCTGCTGCAGTGGATGCCCGCCGTGAACGCCAGCGTGGGGACGGGGGCCTGCGCCGGGCCCGCCGCCCTGACCCACATGCAGCTCCGCCACCTGGACCCCACGGCGTTCAAGTGCAGAGCCATAGGTGGGGGCTTTCCCGGCCGGGGGGGCGGGCAGCAGGGTTCCCAGCAGGAGGTGGGAGACCAGGGGGAACGGCTGCCGGGGCTGAGGGCTCCCCACCCTCCCTGCTCTGCCGTTTCCTGGCTGTGAGACCCTGGGCAAGCAGCAGCGTCTCCCTGAGCCTCAGTGTCCTCACCTGTGGAACGAGGGTAATACACCGTGACACAGGATTGCTGTGAGACTCAGTGACGTGTCCACCCCGGCACTGGCGCGGGGCCTGGGACGGGAGGCCCTCATAAATGCTCCCTCTCCTTGTTGTTATTAATACAAAACTGACCGGTTCTAAAATCCTTCCTCTGACCGTTTTGCTTTTCCATAAATATACTTTGGTGCCTTTATGGGTACTGGGCAAAGCAGAGAGCACGGCAGTGATGAAGGCAGCCCTGGTCTCGCCCTTTCAGAACCCACCGTCCAGAGGAAGGCGGAGAGTGACGCCCAGAGTGACCAGGACTGGGATGGGGGAGGCACAGAGTGTCAGGGCCAGACGGGGGAATTGTTATTATTATTAAGTTATAATAATAATCTAATAACATTATTATCCATTAATAATTAGTAATATTATTACTCATATCAACATTATTAATAATAATTAATGGTAAGTGTGAGACATGCTTTCGGTCCGTGGGACTCATAGAACAAGGGAATTTAACGTGCGGTCCCTCTTTATTCAGTTACTCAACAAACATTCACTGAGGTCCGCTCTGTGCCCAGCCCCGTGAAAGGTGATGGGCATACTGTGGCGACCAGCCTTGGGCTCTGGCCTCACAGTTCTGGGGGGTGGGGAGACAGATATTAAATAAAACCTTGCACAAATAAATGGATGCTATACATTGTGATAAACACAGGGAATGAGGAGGGAGATTAAGGCGGGGGAGTCCTACCTTATATGGGTGACATTAATCTGGACTTAGCAAGTGAAGTACAGAGAGAAGGGCACACTAGAGAGAGGGGACTGCATGTGCAAAGGCCCTGAGGTAGCATAGAGCTTGTCCTGTTTGGGGATGAAAGGAAGGCAGGTCTGGCTTGTGGGAGCAAGTGAAGGGAAGGACACAGATGTGGTCGAAGGCACAGGGCCTCACCGTGCAGGACTCTGAAAGCCACGAAGAGGAGAGTGGACTTTACCCCGAGGGCTGTGGGAAGCCGTGGAGGGTTTTGAGCAGAGGGTGATGATTTGACGGACATTTTTAAAAGATCCCCCTTTGGGTGGGCATCCTTGGTGGCTTGGTTCATTGCCTCAAGCCTGGCACCTAGCAACAGGCCTGGCACGTAGAGCGAAGTGTTATAACGTGGAGTCTACTGCTTGGCTCCACATCACCTCACTGGGCAACCTCAGGCATCGCTACCATAAGACCTAAGTTGCTGTAACAAAGAGGCTCAAAGTATCATAAATTAAAGAAGACAGAGGTGAGCTGTCCAGGCGGGTGGGTAAGCCCCTGGGCGTGGTCCTGGTTCTTGTGGCTGAAGCCGAGTTGTAGCACGTCCATCTGCCAGCTCGTGGGGAGAAGGAGAGGAGACTGAGGCCAGGACGAGCCGTCCTCACACCAGCAAGGCGAGCTTACACCCATCACTCTGTTCTCGTTCCACCAGGAACGTGGTCTGGCAGTGGCCACACCTAACTCTGGGGGTTGGGGGGGAGCCGGATAATGTGGCCTCTGGCTGGACAGCTTTGTGCCCACTGCAATCCTACTTCACAGAAAGTGGGAAGGATGGATGGGGCTGGCCAACTGGCTGCCTGTGCCACTTAGAGTAGTTTCCTCTTCTGCAAAGTGGATATAATAACCTTGTAAATACCTTACAGGGATCTTGTGAAGTTAAATGAATTAATAAATATGCTGTTTCTAAGCAATTATTTGATGATGCCACGCAGCTTAGAAAATAAAGTCTTACCATGTTGTTGTGAGTTAATACATCTATAGATAAAAGATTCCACTATATGCTCCTATGGGGGGAACAACACGATGGTACTCATTCCAGAGATGTGCAAACTGAGGCTCGGCGATAAGGACCCTTGGGGTCCCCCGGGGCCTGCCTGACTCTTTCCTGCACCCCCAGAGCTGTCCTGGTTCCAGACGGTCGGGGAGTCGGCGCTGGGCGTGGAGCCTTTCTCCTACCAGGGGGAACCCCACATCGTCCTGGCACAGCCCTTTGCCGGCCGCTGCCTGATCCTCACCTGGGACTACAGCCTGCAGCGCTTCCGGCCCGAGGAGGAGCTGTCTGGTGAGCCCCCTTCTTTCCTCCTGCCTGCCCGGGGGGCCTGCCCTGCCAGCTGGCCTGACCTGCCCTCCTGCTCCCCGGCTCCCCCCAGCGCCCTCGGTGGTGTCCTGCAAGCCGCTGGTGCTGGGCCCGCGCCTCTTCGTGCTGGCCGCGCGCCTGTGGGGAGGCTCGCAGCTCTGGGCCCGGCCTGGCCCCGGCCTCCGCCTGGCCCCCACGCAGGCCCTGGCCCCGCAGCGCCTGCTGCGGCCCAATGATGCCGAGGTCCTGTGGCTGGACGGGCAGCCCTGCTTCGTGGTGGCCGACGCCTCCAAGGCGGGCAGCACCACCCTGCTGTGCCAGGACGGGCCCGGCTTTTACCCGCGCCAGAGCCTGCACGCCTGGCACCGGGACACGGACGCCGAGGCCCTCGAGCTGGACGGCCGGCCGCACCTGCTGCTGGCCTCCGCCTCGCAGCGGCCCGTGCTCTTCCACTGGTTTGGCGGCCGCTTCGAGAGGCGCACGGACATCCCCGAGGCCGAGGACGTCTACGCCACACGCCACTTCCAGGCTGGGGGGGACGTGTTCCTGTGCCTGACGCGCTACATCGGGGACTCCATGGTGAGGCTGGGCACGTCAGGTAGGGCAGACAGGCAGCGGGGCCGCAGGCCAGGCCCGACCCACAGCTGACTCCCGCTCAGGGCTGGCTTTTCAGCGTGACCACCCACTGTGGGCTGCTCTTTCAGCACCCACCCCACCTTGCACACTGGCCTCTGAACTCTGACCTCACCTCACAGGCTGGACTGACCCTCGACCTCTGACCCCACCTAATGTGCTGATCTTTGAACTCTGACCCCACCTCAACACTGATTGCAAGACTGTGACCCCTCAAGGCTGGATGACCCTAAACCATTCCCCATCCCCTACACCGACACTGGCCCCAAGATACGGATTCTACCCCTAAACTCTGGCTCTGTAACTGACACACTCCGGGACTTACACTTAACCACGAACACCACGCTCCAAACCCCCAAGGCTGACGGCTCACCTCCTCAGGCACTCTCTTTCCGGAGTGAGGTATAGCCAGGGGCAGGGCTCTGCACCTAGAAGGCAGGTGTTCACAGGTGTCTGTGTGGGGGACAGACTGTGGGCGCAGGAGCGGAGTAGAGAGACCAGGGAGGAGGCTGCTGCGAGGGTCCAGAAGGGAGGTGACGGCGGCAGGGCCGGAGCGCGGCCAGGGGAGATGGAAGAGATCTAGACATCATAGGTAAACCTGGCAGATCCCACTGCTGACATTCTACGTGGGGTGTGAGGGAGAGAGGGGCCAAGGATGAGCATCCGGGCAGTGACGTTTGTGAAGATGAGAAAGGTGTGGGAGTGTGGGGACCTACAGGCCTCTGTTCCCAAGCTGTCCCAAGTGCCCCAGAGCCTAGAAGACTCCTGGCAGGCCTGGCCCCCTGCACCCCAGGTCCTATCCAGCAGCCATACTTTGCAGGTCATGCGCTGGGATGGTTCCATGTTCCGCCTGCTGCAGCAACTTCCCTCACGTGGTGCCCACGTGTTTCAGCCACTGCTCATCGCCAGGGACCAGCTGGCCATCCTGGGCAGCGACTTCGCCTTCAGCCAGGTCTTCCGCCTGGAGCCTGACAAGGGGCTCCTGGAGCCGCTGCAGGAGCTGGGGCCCCCGGCCTTGGTGGCCCCCCGTGCCTTCACCCACATCACCATGGCCGGCAGACGCTTCCTCTTCGCTGCTTGCTTCAAGGGCCCCACACAGATCTACCAGCATCACGAGTTAGACCTCAGTGCCTGAGACGGAGACCCTGGACATGGCTGGCCAGGGGCTGGCATGCAGTCCTAGGCCTCTGGACGCCTCCTTGACTGGCCTCCTGGCCCCACTTGAGGTGATAGCTGGCCTTGTGAGATGCTGACCACAGGCCGAGCTCGAGGCAAGAGCTGCCCCTCCAGTCTTAAGCAACATCTTGGCTGGAGCTAGATGCCCCACCAAGGGTGACTTGGGGGCTCAGGCTGGGGCACTGCACGGAGCGGGATACAGAAGTCAGGGAGGCGGTAACGTACGGAGCTCCATGAGGTCTGGGAGCGCCCCCCTCAACCCACTCCCAACCCTCCTGCTCGCGCTGAAAGTACCGAGGAGGAGAGAGCTTTCTCTCCCCTCTAAACTCAATCCGGCCAATCGCTTTTAGTGCCCGCCTCCATGACGTCACCAGTCGCTGGGCGGGTTTCCCTGCCTGGCTCGCTAACTTCCTCTGCTGCTTGTGCGCATGTCTCCCGCCGAGGCGGAAGCCCTGCGTGTCGTCCCTCCTGCGCCTGCGCCTGCGCGGGGAATAGGTGGGAAAGTGAGAGTTGGCGCCGGGAGCCCCGGGTACCCCTCCGGGTGGGTGACAGAGGCGAGGACAGAAAGCGTATGATCTCAATAAAGGCGCTGTGAACCCGCCCCACCCGTTGCTGTGGGATCGTTGGGAGAGGGTGTCTCCCGAGTGGCATGGGGGGCGGGGGGTCTGGTGTCCTAGGAGCAGTATTACGAAGGGGGCAGGTTCCAGGGGTGCGTTTGGCTGCTCATGGGGAGCTACCGCGCGGTCTCTGAGGAGTGTGGGCTCATGATTTTGGGGGACCTCAGGGGATGCTCAGGGGATATAAAGGCATTAGGGGACAGGTCACAGGTTTACTGTGGGTCTCGGAGTCATGTCTCAGGGCATTGTAGGAGATACTTTGGGGGTGTTTTGAAGGGTTTTAGGCATCTTACGGAGTGGCTCATGGGAACATTTTGGAGGTTTTATTGGGTATTGGGGGGTCTCAAGGAAGTTTGAGGCTCGTTGGAGAAGCTCACACCCTGTGGCCTTCATATGTTATTAGGGGATATCATGGGGAATTATTTAAAGTCCTCATAGGGACATTTGGGTATTAGGAAGGTCTTGTGTAGTAAAGTGGGGTCTCGGGTGAGGGGGAGAGTTACGGGGTCTTCCTATTATAATCATAAGCCATCTGGGTACTCATGTCATGGGAGGTTGATCTTACACCCTAGTTTTCCTGGGGTGGTTCCAGTGAGGGTCCCAGCATTCTGTCTAGTTAGAGCTCCCTTTCACTCTCAAAAGTGGTCTCCATTTGGCTACTAGAAAGTTTTTAATTGCACATGTGGTTCCCATGGCTGTGGAAGCAGAGGGCAGACTCCATGCTGTCCACCAAGTCCTGAGGGAACAGGCTTTTCCCAGCAAAGAGATGCAGGTGCCAGCTTTTGTGCCAGCCCCAGTGCACATCAACCTTCTCCTGCCCCCCCCTCCCCCCGCCCCCCCCCATGCACACATAGGGAGTCTTGAGGATGCTTGGGCAGGAGGCAAGATCATTTTAGATAAAAAATTGAACAAAGAGACCCCAATGAGAGGTGGGATGAGGCCCTGGCAAGGCGGTCTGAGGAGAGGAGGGAGAATTCCATCCTGGAGTTCAGGCCCCTGTGCCGAGCAGGTACTTGGGGAAAGAGAGCAGCCCTCCGTGCTCTTACAGCTGATCCTCAGTAGTTAGGGGCAGAGCCTGGAAGAGATGATGGGTCAGCCTGTGAGAGCGGATCGAGTTCTTTCTCCCCAGGGCACATGCCTACACACACACACACAGACACACACACCCCCCCCACACATCCCGTGTTCCCCTCAGCCCCCTTCTGTCCCTGCCTTACCTGGAGTGATGAGAGGTGGGGTGTCTGCTTGTCGGTGGCTGGGAAAATAAGAGTGGTGGGGTCTGTGTCCACCCCCGTTTGTCGTCTCCCTCAAACCCAGAGGATTCTCGGTTGCCCTGACGTAGCTTCCTGGCTGGTTTTCCATTGTAGGTTGTATCATCCCAGGGACCAAAGCATTTCAGGGTTTGGGGCCCTCAGAGGATTATCAACTGAAGAATAAACCTGGGAAATCTTAGGGGCAGGAACTCTCCAGGGCAGAGCCTGGAGGCCTGGCCTCTTTCTGCCAGAAAGATCTAGCTCTCTCACCCTGAAAGGTGTCTGTCCAGCCTGAGGCCGGCGTGCCGCAGGGAGCTCATCTTACCTGGGCTTCTGGCGGAACCTGCATTTGCATTTCCCACCTGTTGGGGGAGGGGAATGGTCAGGGAGGGGCCCACAGCCCTGCCCCACCCGCCCCCTGCCAGCGCGTCCACTCACTCAGGAGGACGATGATGCCCATGACGCACAGAAGCCCCGCACAGATGAGCCCGCTGACCCGGAGGCTGTGCCAGTCTAGGAGAAACCCAGAGGGGGCCCTCAGTGCCAGCCTGCACCCTCCCTGTCCAGCACCCATCCACCTGACAAACAGACACGGGGCACCTGTGGCGTGCAGGGTGCTGGGGACACAGCAGTGGAGGGAACAGACACAACCCCGCCCTCCTTCCTCACATCTACTGTACACACGAGCAAGTGACAAGAGACAACTTGGGGTCAGGTGGAGAGAAGCTGTCTGAAGACAAATAGGCACGGCCAAGGGACAGGTCAGAGGGCAGCTCTTTGAGAGAGAGGGGTCAGGGAAGGCCTCTCCGAGGGGCCGCAGTTGACCAGAGACCTGAGGAGGCGAGTGAGGGAGCTGTGGGGCTACATGGCAGCAAGTGTCCCAGGCAGAGGGATGGGAAGGTACAAAGGTCCGGGGGCTGGGAGTGTGACTGCTGTGTCTGAGCAACAGCAAGGAGGCCTGTGTGGCCGGGGCAGAACCAGTGAGGGGAGCAGGGGTGAGGGCGGAGGGCTGACGGGGGCAGATCACGTGGAACCTGGAGGCCGCAGGAGGACTCGGGCCAGTGGCTCATCTCCTCCGGGCGGTTTTCTCAAGCCAACCCTTCTCCAGGCAGTTGATTTGAACCGTAACCACAGCTTCTTGTCAACTGTCCTCGCTTCCTGTGCATGTCTAACTTCCTTGCTGGAGGAGAATCTTCTCAAGGACCAGGCTGGCATGTCTTGTTCCCTAATCCACTGTGTTTACTGTTCAGTCCTAGCCCCTTCCTCCTGTGTTTCACCCACGTCAGATCCTCGCCCAACCCTGTGGGACCCTTGACATAAAATAGAGGGTCGGGGTGGGGGCGGTGAAGGGAGGGACACCAGCTCTCACCATAGTAGAAAGGACTGTTTTTATCTGCAAGGAAAGAAAAAAAGAGCATGAATCCAGGACAACAGCCAGATGCAGGGGTCCCAGGGGAGGATTAGGGGTGGGGCTGGTGGAGGAGTCCAGTCTGACTCACCTTCGGGGTCGTTGGCGTCCAGGGCAGGCAGGCCTGCTGGGGAGAAGGGGGGAAGGAGAGGAGATGGTGGTACCTCAGCAAAGCTGGTGGGCAGAGCCTGGAGCCTCAGGGACCTCCGGACAGGGTCCCCTGATGGACAGTCCCCACCTCCCGAGGGCACAGGGGTCCAGCCCCAAACTTGCTGCCTCTGCACGTCCCATCTTGGAAACGTAGTTTCCCCCTCGCAGCCCCCCACTTGCAAACCATGCCAGCATTTCGCCTCCTGAAATGGGTTTTAATCTGGGTGGCTTTTGGCCACCGTTGGCCTGTGTTTCCAGACACCTGGCTAATCCACGGCTCCCGCAGAAACAAGCAGTGTTCTCGTCAAGACAACAGAAGGTGTCAGTCCCCAGCCCTTCTCTCAGCTCCTCTCCTGATGCCGCCACATCGCATCCCGCCTGTCCTGTGCTGGCTCACCATTCCCCTCTAAAGCAAAGTACTGATTATAAACTGAATGCCCTTTATTTAAAAATGCGACCGCAAATGAGATACAGTCTCGCCCGGTGGTGGCTAAAAACGAATACAATGGAAGCAAAGGACCAGGATTAAATTCTGGCCAGAAGCAGTGGGCCGCCTCAGCTGTGGGCCTAAGCTTCTTTGTTAAGAGGAGATTAATAATTTTTAATTATATTTAAAGTACAAACACAGTGCTTACTCTGTACCAGGCGCTGTTCTAAGTGCTTTTCAAATGCTAACTCGTCTGATCCTCACAGTGACTCTACGAGTAGGCGTTGTTATTGGCCCCACTTTTACAGAGGGGGAAACTGAGGCATGAAGGGTTTCAGGAGCCTGCTACCTGACCACTGAGCTCCCAGTTTCCTCTCGTATAAAGTGGTAGGGGGGCGTTGAAGACACGCCTGCGCAGGGCCGAGCCTTCTTGACGTCCCCGGGGAGACACCGGACGCTGACTTTCTGGCTGTGTGAGCTGCTGTCTCGTCTCCCTGTGTTCCTTGAACTCACCAGTGCGACACTGCTTACCCTTAAGGAGATGCTGTCCTGATGGTCACCACCCCACAGGGAGGCAGAAAGCCCGAGAGAGACGCACGCGTGGCTTGTGGGGTCCAGGGAAGAGGAGCTGGGGGACAGCACTCACCTGCCAGGAGGACGAGCAGGCTCAGGGCCACCTCTTGCATGTCGCAGTGCCAGCCCTGGAGGGGTCTGAGGGAGGGTCCAGCTTTAGCAGGGCCACCGGGATGCCAGGCCGGTGCCTCTGGCTCCCAGTCCCCTCCTACTCTGCTCCCCACCCAGGGCACACAGCTCGCCCCGGGGCAGAAAGGCTGGCACGGAAACTCACTGGGCTGAGAGATAAGAGGAGGCGCACAGTGCAGTGGGGGCTGGGTGACAGCTCAGGCCTGATGAGGGAGCAGAGTAATAACCCACCGGACCCGGACGTGAATGGCCCCGGCAACCAAATGAGGGAGGCACCGCCCACTGTTACCCCCATCTTACAGATGGGGAAACTGAGGCTGTGAGAGGTGAAGGTGGGTGCCCAGGGTCCTCTCGCCAGGAAGCGGGGTTTAAACCAGGCCTGGCTCAGCAGCGGCTGCTCCTAAGTCAGGACTCTCAGGGTCTCCGGGTGTTTTGGGAAACGGGGTGCTGGGAGCCAGGTGGCAGGAGGCCCAGGTTGCTGGGAGTGTCTCCCGCAGACAGCTCGGAGCCTGCCCGCCTTGCCCAGACTTTGCAGACCGCGGGCTGGGGCAGGGCCGGGACCGAGTAGGCTCCTCGGGCTGCTCAGGGCAGGGTGTGGGGAGGAGGGAGCTCGAGGCTGGGGGGCGGGGGACAGCCCTGGGAGAAGGATCAGCTGGCTGCAGCCCCAGCCCCATCTTCTGTCCCAACCTGTCCCCCTGGCCCCGTTTCTGCCCCACCACTGCCCAGCACCTCCTGGCAGCCAATGCTCCCCATTGCTCAGGTGGGCCTGCCTGAAGAGCACGCCTGTCCCTTCCTGGTCTGGAATCAGTCCATCCTCCCCAGTCGTGTGTGCGCCTGCCATCAGCCCCCGGGCTCTGTGGGCCCCGCCCTCTCCCTGCCCTGCCCCATGGCCACGAGCGTATGTTGTCAGAATCTCGATAGCAAGAGCTAACACGTCCTCTGGTCCCCGCCCCCCACCCCGTGCTGGGTACTGCTGACCTTGCCGTGTGCTCACTCCCCCACCCCCCATTTCACCAACAGCAAAACACAACACCTCCCTAAGCCGGGTAAGAAGCCCATTTGACATTCCCTGCTGTGTCCCCGAGGGGACTCCTGTCCCCAGCTGGAGAGAGTGCCCCCATCTCTCTCTCCCTCTGTACCCTCCACGTAACCCCCACCCCAAGTCTCCTGCTTCCTGCACGTTCTCACAGACTCCTCCATCCCCCGTGCCCACCCTAGCTCCTGGGAGTCCTCTTAGCCTCCCTGTTAATCCCCTGTGCTGGGCTCATAATCTTAGTCTGAGCATCCATTTCTTCAGGAAGAAGGCCCGTAGCTTTGGGGAGCATTACTAAGGCGTTTAGGACCCCAAAAACTTAGGGGGAGAGCTGGAGTGGGTGTGTGCAGGAGGGCCTGGTGGTCCAGGCGCAGGTGTGTAGAAGGACTGCCCGTTGTTTAAAGCTGCCTGGTGAGGCCTCGTCACCCGGGAGGATGCGAATCCTCGCGGTAAGAGCTAGGGCTCATTGACTGTTGACCCCTGGCGGGCACAGTTCTCAGCTCTTCGCGCTTAATCACTCATTAATCTTTGCAGCTTGATGAAGCTGGCACTATGATGACCCCATCACAACCCTGTAACCCCTGCGAACTCAGCTTAATGCCGTGCGCTGTCACCCAGGACTCAGTCTCAGCTCTTAGGCCTCATTCCATGGGATCCGCCAAGCCCTCCACCCCCGCCAGTGAGGGCTCCATGGCCCCCAGCCCCCGGGGCGTCCCCCAGCATCCCCAGCGCAGGGAGACTGATGGGTGGTCTCAGTGCACCCCGGCCCCTGTGCCTTTCTGGCCTGGCTCTCCACAGTGCGGCCGCCGGGAGCTGGTGTCTGGGCGTCTGCCCTCGCCTTCCCCACTCAGGCTGCTGTTGGGAGAGACCCCTGGGCTGCTCTTGAGCTGACTGCAGTTGGCATGAAGACTTGGAGAGGAAGGCCGCCTGCAGATAAGGCTCTGCCCACCCCGCTCTGCTCCTGCCTGGCCCCGGAGGTCCCAACGCTGGTGCGAGGCCTATTTCTGCCATCCGCCCTCTGCTCTCCGCTCTCTTCCTCCAAGATGGTGGCTAGACCCTTCGGGCGTGTGCAGAATGACTCCCCTGTGTCCCTGAAATCTCCTACCAACTCCCCATTTTATAGCTTCCCCAGGAAGCCACTATCCCCTTTTCCTAGAGGTCTCCAGGACCCATGTATCCCCAATCCCTAGACACCCCGAGTCCACCCAGTCACCCACCCAACCACTCTGATACCCCCAGTCCAGCCCTGGTCCACCTGGATACCCTACCCACCAGTGACCCCCTCTTCACTCCTGTGCACCAGATACCTACAATCCAGATGCTTCTGGTCCACTCAGAACCCCCCGATCTACCCAGATCCGCCAGTCTTCCCAGACACCCCAATCCCACTTGTGGGCCTTACCCTCATACCGGCTGGCTCACCCAGCCCCCGGAGAGGAGGATGATGGGGGAGGATCACATTAGGGGAGGGGGCTGTCTCTAATCTCCTGCTCCCCAGAAAAGGACCTTGAAGGGGGAAGGTTCTAGGGTCTTTACAGAGAGCAGTGGAGGGAGGGGCGGGGTAGTCTGGGGGCAGAGCCAAGAGGGGTCTGGACGGAGGGGGCCCCAGCCACTCACCTGCGTGGCTACCCAGGCTGCGCGGAGGTTCCAGGTTCTGGAAGAGATGGGGGCTGCTTAGCCTGAGTCCTGCCTTTATCCGCAGCAGCCACGCCCTAAGCAAACCTGGGCAGGTAGGCAGAGAACAAGTCAGACTCCCTAAAGCTCAGGGGCTCCCTCACCCCATTCCTGCTCTTAAAGAGACAGCTCCCCCCATGCCCAGCCACTAGTGGTGGGGACCTCCCCGGGGTCTCCAAGGTCACAGAGCCTCAGGTGAGGCAGAGGGAGAATAGGATGGACTGGAACGCTGCCCCTCACATTGGGGGACGGGGCTTTCTCCAATCTCCTGCCCTCAGAAAAGGGCCTGGAAGGAAGAAGTTTTGGGGTCTTCAACAGCAGAGCTTCTGACTGGCGGGGTGATGGGGGAAGGCGATGCGTTGGTGAAATGACCTCATTTCTTTTACTTAGATGGTGTGTTGTGCTTGGAGGAGGGATTGGTGGTGACTATGGGAGATCTAAAGTCTCTTCCAGGCCGCTTGTTGCTGTTGACACAGTTTGAAGGTCAGCAGAAGATGCTGATCTGACCAAGGGCATGAGGTGAAGGTGGGGGTGCGCAGGGGTAGGGGTGGGGGTGGGGGCTGTTGGGCCTTAGACCACGACCCCTTGCCCATGGTGCCCATTGTGCCCTAGGGAGACTGGGGTCTGGTTCCCAAGCACCAGGCAGACCTTCCCAGCCCGGGCTCTTCCCAAGGGTGCTGGGAGCCGGATGCCTGGGTCTACGAAGTGGGCGTTGGGCTGGGGGCTGCCTCCCACCCCGGATGAGGCCGCTGCGCTGTGTGAGGCTCCCTTGCCCTCCCTCCTCCCTCTCCTGCCCCTCCTCCTCATGGTGTTCCTTCCGGCTGGGGTCTGTGAAGGCCCCTACATGGGACCCGTTGGGGGGACCCCTCCCCCCAATTCCGCTTTTTTAGACAGAGGGACTTTTGTCTGGGGGCTGGATGGAGAACAAGGCGCCTTTGAGTGGCTGGCGGAGGATTGGGGTCATGGGGAGGGGCAGGGCCAGGAAAGGGGTGGCTCTGCTTGGCCACCAGCTGGACTCCAGGCGACCCCCAGCACCATGGCGGGGGTGGGGAGCAGGGCCACAGGGGCCAGGCCAGGGAGAGGGTCCTAGCGGGAGCATGGACTGCAGGACAGGGAGAAGGGTTTCGAGGTCAAGGCTTTGCTGGGTGCTGTCTGCTGGGGGCAGGGAGAAAGGACCCCCACCCCACCCCCCACTTCTTGGCAAGGAGGGACAGGGGGCGTGGAACGGGAACCCAGATACGTGCTTTCTTTATGTGGTGCCCTCGGGCAGTTTCCCAATCCCAGGCCCTAGACTAGAACAAGGCCTCTCCCCACCCCATTAAGGAGGGGACAGTCCCTATAAGGAGTGGAGGGGGCACTCAGGGTGGGGCTCAGTCAAAGCAGGAGTTTCAAGGAGAGATAGAGTAAGGGGAGACCTGGGGGGAAGGATCCCAGTCAAGCTAAAGGGTCTTTGTGTCTGGGCAGACAGCGTCTCTTGTCCAGATGTTTCAAGATTGCAACCCCCCTGGGAAGACCCCTTTGGTGGTCTTGGGAGCGGAGTGGTGTCTCCCTCTGCTGGGAAGTCCGGGAACTGCAGGCAGCAGAGAGTGAGAAAGGGGAGGTGCAGGGTGGCTAGGAGGGATGGTCCATCCTTCACCTGTGCCGGAGTCTGCAGACTCAGACGCCAAAGGGGCCGGGCAAGAATCGTGGATGAGTGAAGCACACAGGTGTGAGACTATAAGGCACGGTGGCAACTGGGCAAACAGGAGAACTGCTGTCCTGTCTACAGGGCAGCCACCAAAGAGACTGGAGTCTGTATCCTGGACGGATACAGAAGTATGTCCTAGACATCTTGCTACGGGAAAAAAGCAGGACGTAGAGAAGTATGCTACCACTTGTGAGAGGGAAATAATGCATACGCATATTCTTGTATATGAATGAAATCTTTTTGGAGATTGGCATCCCCAGCTGCTCCTGGCGAGGGGGCCGGAGAGGCTAGGGAAGGGGTGGGAGACTCACTGACTATCATACACCCTCTTGTGCCTTCTGAGTTTTATATCCTGAAAATGCACTACTTTGAAAAAAACGTTTAAAGGAATTAAAGGATAGCTTCTACGCAGTTCCAGCCAATTGCTATATTTTCAGTAGATGTTGGAAACCGGAATCTTTATGCCAAATTCCCAATATTACAAGTTGACTCAGAATTTAAAAAAAAAATTATGCAGGTTGAACAAAACACACCTAGGGGCTGCTTTCAGCCTGGGGGACCACCAGTTAGAGACTTTGGCCAACTTCATTTTCCGAATCTTGAATCACCGTGGTCTCGCCTTTGGCTTATACCCAACCCCGGCCAACAATAACTTCCTCCCAGGGCTGGACCAGAGTGTGTCACACCCCCGGCTGTGCTGGGCTGGGGCAGGGGCTTATGGCTGGAGAGGCAGGACCCAAGACCCAAGTGGATGGTGAAGGTGTGAGCCCGGACCCTGGGGCGGGTCTGCGGGCAGCCGCTCGTCTCTTATTGGGGGTTGCATCTCTTTGGGGGTGAGTCTTCCAGGCTGATTTGACTTCGGTCATTTAAAGTGTGCCCATATATAATATATATTCTTTTATATATAAATATATGCTTATATACGTCATTACGTTATATAGATAATAAAGTCATTTGAAATATTTCCCCTTCATTTAGCTCTTGAGATCATTTGGTCCTGAAGAACCTGTTGAAGCTGTGATTTCTTAGTATCCTGGGAATTCTTGCAAAATGAGAAAACCCAAATCTACAGATAGTTTCTGAACATCATGAAGTTTTCAGGAATGCCGAATTAAAGTACGAAATCAAGGCCCCAGGTTGTCGCTCATTCAAAGCTTTATTAATTTTGGTTTTGCCCTTTGCTTCTGATACTCAGGGGTCAGTGATTTTGTTGTTCTTCTTTTAAGGCTGTGAGGGATTCTGCAGGCTCCCAGCAAGCTTTGAGGCCGTAGGTGGGCCAGCCTGGGGTGTGGAAGCCAGAGGCACTCCGGCCCAGGAGAGGGGTTCTGGTTGGGCCGGGGCCCCGCCTTCCCGCGTAGAGGCTGAGAGGCCGCGCCGGTGGGCTGGGGACGTGTGGTCCCAGTGATGCTCTAAGCTCCCACCTGCCTGGGCAAGACGGGGACAGAGATACCCGTGGGCCGACAAATGCGGCCTCCTGGGGCTCTGTGGACTGTTCCTCGTGGCCTCGGAGTTCAGCACCTGTGGGAGAAGAGCCAGAGCTGGCAAGCGGCTCTGTCCCTCCACTTTGGGGTGGTGTGGCTGTGGGCGTGTCGCTGTCCGTCTGGCTTCCAGGAGCCACACGAAGTGCCACACAGGGAGGCCTGGGTTCCACAGGCCCCTTGAGATCTGCCCTCTGTGCTGCTCTGATGTCATCACCCACCAAGAGAAGCTGGAAATGTTGGTTTTTAGGATGAAGTCTCCCGATTTTTAAATGTTGGTAACTGACTTCTGATTTCCTTAACACTTTGTGGACCAAATGAAATGTGCCCAATGGTCAGAGCAGGCCCCGGGGCCACCAGTTTGAGTCTCCTATCTTAGGGATTAGGCAACCTGGGGGGAGGTTCAGGTCTCCCCCCCACCCCCGCATTGTCACTCTGCTCTGGTGACCTCAGCCTCCTTCTATTCCTTGGGCGCTCCAGGCACATTTCTGCCTCAGGGCCTTTGCACCATCTGTTCCCTCTGTCTGGGATTCTTTTCCCACATGTCAGCACAGCTCACTCCCTTATCTTCTTCAAGTCCTGGCTCAGACTCCACCATCTCACGTGGCCTCCCCTGACCACCCACTGAAGATCTCACACACATATACACACACACACACACCCTTTCTGTTCCCTTACGACTTATCTATCTTCAAAGCTTATTCTAGGAAACTCCTCTTTGCTTTTTTCCATTTTCTGCCTCCCCTGCTAGCACGTTGGCTCCTCCCAAGGATTTCCACCTGAATTATTAAAAACGCCTGGCATGTAGTGGGTGCTCATGAAGTATCTGTTAGATAAGAGAAAGGTGTTCTTATCCTCCACACCCCCGACCCCCCCACCCAGTGACAGAGGCCTTACAGGAGCCGAGGGGGGGTGAGGGCAGAGCAGGTGGGCATGGAGGACATTTGCTGCCCAGTTTCCTCATCCCTGGGGCCGGGGCTCGGGCTGGTGGCTGGGGGTCCTGGGTGTGAGCAGGAGCTACCGGGAAGCGGGAGAAGCCAGGCTACCTATCTGGGATGGGGCCTGGGGGCTCAGGGGGGCACCCTGCAGCTGCCTCCCAGCCTCCTCAGTCGCTAAGACAAGGATCTCAAACTGGTGGCCCCAGGGCCAAACCCAACTATTGTGCATGTTTCCTTTGATTCACAAAGTGTTGCAAATATTCACAGCTGCCAACATTTAAACAGGGATATTTCAGCATCACAAGCTGCACTTCCAGCTTCTCGGGGAAGACCCGGCCTACCTGGGCCCACACTCCCCCGCGGCGGCAGCTGTTGGAGGGGCACGTCCATCTCCCGGGGGTGACCTAGGCCCCCTCTGCCCCTGGCTGAGGCTTCGTGGGAGGGAATGAGAGAGAGGGAGACCCACAGGTGCTCGAGCCCCCCCGCCTGCTCTCGTCATCTCCCGTCGCAGACCCGCCGTCTGCCACTGAGGCCACATTACAGTGCAGACCCCGGGCAGACGCATCCCAGGGACGTGTTGGGGGGCAGGGGGCAGGGGAAGATCGCTGGGATGCAGGAAACTCAGGACAAAATAATACAGATAGGTACAGATGGAGAGAGAGAGCACAAATGAGGCAGAATATTAAGAATTGGTGAATCTCCGTGAAGGGTATTTGGGTTCATTGTACCGTTCATGCAAGTTTTAAAAAAAAATTCAAAATAAATGCTGGGGAAAATCAATAAAAATTTAAAAATTAAAGTTAATTTTAAAATTAAAGTTTAAAGATCAAAAACAACAGCAAAGGAATGGAGAAAACAGTAAATTCAGAATTGAGTAAACTAAAAGCTAAATAAATAGAATTTAACTGGACTTAGGAAATTACGTATTTGTGTATATACTATATATTCATATAA